TAGCATTAAATGCCAGTCACAAAAGGACAAATATTACATGATACCACTGTTGTAGAATGGGACTGTCCTTGGGGTTGGGGAGAGACTGAGTAAGATGGGTTCAATAATGTATACTGCACTGAAACAGAGGAGGGAGAAAACCGTTTAAAAGAGAGATATAACTAGGTATTTCTGTCATCACAGGAGACTAGAGCGAGGGCTACATGGTGGAGGGGACCTGGGGGAGGGTTTGTAAAACAATGAAAGAATCTTTTCTTTTACTTTTCCATAATTTTTGGACTCATGTACTTATAACTTGTTAGTCAAATTTGTGTCTTCTAGGTTGCAACACCCCCATGATACATCTTCAAGGATATGTACATGTACAGCCAAGCACAATCAATAAGAGTGCATCTGAATTCCAAAATCAATCTCCATAATAGTCTATGTGTTTCCTACTGCCAAAGGGGCCCTTTAGAGTAGTGAGAGAAGATCTTCACCCTGAAACCCACAGCGTCCCTTTTCAGCAGGAAGTAGCTAAGAGAATACGCTGTCCCCTTTTCCTTATGACTCAGGGTGAAGTCTCTCTCAGGGAGGAGTGATAGGGAATGGCAAAGGATACACTGACAAAGAAGATTAATCAGAACTGGCTTTGACAAGCACTGTGGCATTTGGACAAGAACAAACTGGGAGGAGGGTAGAGAGAATAGTGCAACAATGAATGAGTGGAAGCCCAAAATCTCTGTAAATGTTTATGAAAATTAATAAAATATAATTATAGGGAAAAAAAAAGAAACAGATGATGGAGAGAAGAGTTTAAAAGTGATATATGATAGGGTATTATGGTTCTCACAAGAGTCCAGAATTGAGGTTGCATAGTGGAGTGTACTTGGAGCAGTGGGGAGTGTGTGTGCGGGGGAATTGTATACCTATGAAAGAATTTTTCTTTTAGTTTTCAAAGAGAGAAGCGAACTGGGGGGAGGGATGGGCATGGAGAAAAGTGCAACAATGAATGAATGGAAATCCAAAATCTCTATAAATGTTCATTAAAATTAATAAAATAAAATTTAAAAAAGGTAGGAAAAAAATTAGCATTAAATGTATATACAAATCATATTGCTCATCAGTATAAATAAGAAACAAAAGATAATGACTTTATTTTAATTTTATAATAAACAATAGAATTCCAGAACATTTCACTATGCACATATAGAATTGGTACATAGATTAAGACACAGAACAAGAGGGGTCTGCAAGGTTTAAAATCAGGAGAGGTGTGCATCAAGACTGCATGCTTTCACCATAAATTGCCAACCTGTCTGCTGAGCGAATACTCTGAGAAGCTGAACTCTATGAGGAAGAATGTGGCATCAAGATTGTAGGAAGACCGGCTCAACAACCCGAGATACGCAGATGAGACAACCTTGCTTGTTGAAACTGCACAGGACCCGAAGCACGTATGGATTACACCTGAGCATCAAGAAACAAAGAATTCTCACAACTAGACTAATAAACATCATGATCGGTGGAGGAATTGTTGAAGTTGTTATTGTATCACATAGGTTTCGAATCTTATGAAAATGAGCAGTGGCAATGACATTTCCTAAATCTTCCATCTTCTCGCAGAGTTGTATATGCCTAAGCATAAAAGGGTGATGTGGGGATATTAAGTAGTCAGTACATTTTGCGAGTGGACTTGTAGGTAGGTAATTAAAAGTGCCTTACTTGCAGTGCTTAAGGCAATTAAAGTGCTAATTAACCAAAGAGAGAAATTGAGATTTCATTACTCTGAGCTTCCTAAAGAGGGGCCAGCAAGAAGTGCAGCTGAAAGTAATACTTGGACAGTTTTCTTTGTAAATGCTTTTTTTTAATTGCCTCTCTGCATCTCATCATTTAAAACTAACACTGACACAGAAACACGATAAAGCAAAATAAAAATATATTTTCACTAGAAAGGAATTTCACATGTTGCAAAACAATGAGATTGAATAAAAAGACATTTAAAAATTGTTTGAAAATCCTGACATTAAAAAATTGTTTGAAATCCTCTTTTATCGTGGCGTTGCTGGGGCAATCAGCTGCTTCACCACGAAGCTGAACCTTCACAGCCACTGGCTGTCAAAAGCCCATTGAGGTGGACGGTGAACGGAAACCTCGTACATTTTATGAGAAGCGAATGGCCGCAGAAGGTGCTCTCTTGGTGACGAATGGAAAGGATACGTTGTCCAGATCAGTGATGCAAACAACAAGCAAGGTTTTCCCAAGAAGCGGGGTGTCTTGACCCATGGCTGCTGAGTAGGGGACACTCTAGTTTACAGACCACAGAGAACTGGAGAGAGGAAGCGCAAATCCCGGCGGGGCTGCATTGTGGATGCCAATCTGAGTGTTCTCAACTTGGTTATTGTGAAGAAAGGGGAGGAGATCCCAGGACTGACTGATACTATGTTGCCTCGGGCCCCAAAAAAGCCAGCCTGGACTTCCTGGTAGAGAGACAATGACCCTGACATGTAACACCTGAGCCCTGTAACACATGCAAGGCAGGGCAGCCTGCATAAAAGTGATTCTATTTGAAGCTATATTGTAAATGTTTCTTTTTATTTTTTAATAAAATTTTTTCTTTAAAAAAAAAACAAAAAAGCCAGCAGAATTCGCAAACTCTTCAGTCTCTCCAAGGAAGGGGATGCCCGTCACTGTGTTGTGAGAAAAGCCACTGAACAAAGAGGGCAAGAAACCCAGGACCAAGGTGCCCAGGATTGAGCGTCCTGTTACGCTTACCCGCATCCTGGAGCACAAGCGCCGGTGCATTACGCTGAAGGAACAGAGCACTAAGAGGAAAGAGGAGAGCACTAAGAGGAAAGAGGAGGACGCTTTAGAGGACGGCTAAGCTTGAGGCCAAAGTAAAGCGCCAGGAGCAGATCCCCAAGAGAAGGAGCCTTTCCCCTCTGAGAGCTTCCACCTCCAAATCCGAATGCAGTCAGAATTTTCTATGGGTGGCAAATAACTAAGCTCATGTATTAAATATGTTTTTTAAATTAAATCTTAAAAAAATTGAAATAAATCACCAAATGATATTAAACAGTTCTGCTTTTCAGAGGTTATCTTTCATAGGACAAAAAGGGTTATTACAGTTATTTATTATTATGAAGAAATTATATTATCTATTCTGGTGTTCATAAAGAATTCACAAACAACAAATGCTGGCGAGGTTGTGGAGAAACAGGAACCCTTAATTCACTGTTGGTGGGAGTGTAAAATGAAGGCGGTGTGGTGCTTTCTTAAAAAGTTGCAAATAGAGATACCATTTGACCCAGCAATTCCACTACTAAGAATATACTCCAAAGAAACCATAACCGCCACCCAAACAGATATATGCACACCCTTGTTTATCACAGCTTTGTTCACAATAGCAAGGAGTTGGAAACAACCTAAGTATCCATCAACAAATCAATGGATAGAGAAGCTGTGATATAGTCACACAATGGAAGACTACGCTGTTTTGAAAAACAAGGAACTCGTGCAATATTATTCAAAATGGGTGAGCCTAGAGGACATTAGGCTGAGTGAAATAGCTCAGTCACAAAAGGACAAATACTGCATGGTGCCACTGTTGTAAAACAGGACTGACATCAGGGTTGGGGGGAGACTAAGAAAGATTGGATAAATTATGTATACTGCATTGAAACAGATAAGAGAGAGAACTGTCTAAAAGGTATGTGTGATTAGGTATTGTTGTCATGACATGAGTCCAGACCGAAGGCTGCATAGTGGAGTGCACCTGGGGGAAGGGATTGTATAACAATGAAAGAATTATTCTTTTACTTTTCAAAGAGAAGAACGAACTGGAGGGGAGGGGTGGGCAGGGAGAAAAGTGCTATAATGAATGAATGGAAATCCAAAATCTCTGTAAACTTTGATTAAAATTAATAATCATAATAATAAAAAGAATTCTGGGATCCTCATTCACAAAATACTGTACTGTAAACATAGCATTAGTTTTGAAATGGATGCAAAATGAAACAAGAATAGTGCACTAGGATTTCAGTCATTGCACTAAAACTTTTTTTAACATATTTACATTATTCATTTTCTTTTCATAGAAAAGTAACACTTGATCTTTTAAAAATGACATTATTATCAGAACTTAAAAAAGGTTTGCTCTAAAACCATCCCATCCTGCTGCTCCCCCAGGAAAAAAGACAGTATAATAGATCTTAATTTTGAGAAGCTCATTAGCAATGGGTAAGGCCTTGAGTCCCAAACTTCCCATGCACAGTGCAAAGAATGTGTTGCTGAATGCATTTCAATGACACTAACAGGTCAGTCTGGTGACTACGGTGCACCTGATCCAGGCCATGGTCTTTGCAATTACTTGGTATGCATCGGAAAGCTGGACAATGACTAGGGATGATAGAAGGAGAGTTGATGCCTTTGAGCTGTGGTGTTGGAGAAGAGTATTGAATATATCATGGACTGCTAGGAGAACAAACAGGTTCGTCCTAGAGAGGGTGAGACCAGGCTGCTCCTTGGAGGCAAGGATTTTGAAGCTTCATCTGACATACTTTGGACATTTTACAAGCAGAAACATTCCTTTGAGAGGGATGTCATGCTTGGGAGGGTGGAGAGACAGCGCAAGAGAGGAAGACCCTCGATGAGACGGATTGATTTAGTGACTGGAATAATGGGGGTAAGTGTGTTGGAGACAATAGGATTGGCACAGGATAGAGCAGGGTTTTAGGGCTGTTGTACATAGGGTTGTGATGAGTCACAGGCAACTCAACGGCACATAACAACAACAACAGGCCAGGTGTGGGTAGGAATGCCCTCAGCTGTATGGATCCAGCCCCAAGGAATTAGGCTGATCAGATCAATCTGTAAGTCCACACACCTGTATCCTCTCTCCATCAGCTCTTCACGGGCTGTTGGTGGAGATCCTTCCAAATGCTGCAAATTTTGACCAAGCCTTTAAATTCAGAGCAACCTGTAGTGGAGAAAGGAGACTGGGCTGGGCAGGGCTGAGTAACATGGAGCAACGATTTCCTGATGTAGTAGTTCTTAAAATCCTCTCCTTCCTGGATGTACAGAGCTTGCTGCAGGTTTCCCAAGTGAACAAGGTAAAAACCTCTTCTCCCTCAGCTGCTCTACTGAATTGACTGACTGGTTATATTCTCACCTTGCTGCCTTGCTCACTTCTTCATCAACTATGGGCTCATTCTCAACCAGTCTAACAGTTTTTTTTGTTTTTGTTTTTTTTTTATTGTTCTTGTCTCTTTATTCATTTGAAATTATAAAAGTTGTAATTAATTTCAAAATACATATGCATATATTTGCTGTAAAAATTTCATACAGATGAGGGAAACAAATTGGAAAAGTTAAGTCCCTTCTAACAAAGGACCCCACTCCCAGTTCACTTCCTTTCCCAGAGGTATAACAGGGCAAAAAGTTTCAGCTAAGCATGTAACTCTTCAGACCTGTGTTATCCAAGATTACAACAGTCTAACAGTTTTGATTTCAGATCTATCCATTTTACTCAGATAAACCAGTGCTTGTGGGACTCAGTGCCCTCTCCTGAGAAATGTAAGCACCAGTTTTCAGAGTAATAGGGAGATGAGTTTTGGAATGAACATCATTCACTCTAAAGGTCTAATTGAATGCAAATGAGAATGGCAAACTGATATGAAGGTGTTGCTATGCTGACTTGGTGATCTTTGAGTCCTTATTGCAACCCCTAGGAAACCCACATTTCTTCCTTGGAACTCCCAGGAAGACTAAACTTAGCAGAGAGAGGTCTCCACTGATAATATTCTTCCCCTCTCTTTTCCCTTTTCCTTCCGACTGTGAGAGCGTGGCATGCTGAGATTCTGCCTAAATAAACTGCAGTCTCTGCTCCCAGATCAAAATGGTAGCAGCAAGTCAAGGTTCAGGTTTGGATTGATTGCTTATCTCCTCTTTTGTCTCCCTTAGCAATGGAATGCACTTTCAGAGAGTGATAAGCTGTGGAGGTAAGTAAAGGAGAGGGCAGAGTCAAGCAGGAAGAAGAGGTTTCCTGGAGAGAGGACAATGATTGTGCACGGGCTAGAGGGTCTGGCGAGTGGAGGGTATATGGGATGTGGGGTTGATCAGGGAAGCCTGAAGAGATTGTGGCTCTGCTTCCAGAATGATATCTTTGAAGAGATGGGCCTTCTGCTCTTTCTCTGATGAACATCCGGGCACAAGGACTTGGAAGCAGTTCTTCCTTAACCAGGTAAAACAGGAGCATCTCATGACGTTGGCTCAGCCAGAGGACTTTACTTACAAAAAACCTCGGGACATAGGTATGTATACAACTGTCCTAGAGGCGAATGATGAATTTACATCCTCAAATCCATTTCCCCCTTGAATGCAGTTCTGTGGTCTTATTCAGTGAAGGGAATCCTAGAACTTACTGTCCTCGGGTTGATTCTGACTCACAGTGACCCTTTAGGACAGGGGAGGTCTGTAAGTCCCTGAAACTGTAAGCCTTCATCTTTCTCTCATGCAGGGCTGTCAGTTCAAACCCTTGATCCTTCTGTTAGCAGCCCAGTATTTTACCAGGGTTCCCAATAGAAGGGAAAGTGATTCAAAATTTACTGGCTCTTGGATTATCTTCATAGACAATTCTTTCCCCTCTTGACTATCTTACGCTGAAACAGCCACTGAGAATGATCTTTTTCTTGCATAAAATTATGCTCTGTTGCTCCATTTACAATCCCTCCTAGAATAAAGTCCAACAAACATAAAAGTATTAATTAGCAACTTGGAAATAAAAAGGAACTCCAACTTGTTGCATTCGGGAAATCTGTTGTCAAGAACCTCTCCAAAGTGCTAAAGGGCAATGGTGTCATTTTAAAGACTAAGGTGCACCTGATCAAGTCCAGAATCTTTTCAATAATTTAGTATGCACCTCAGTGTTGGACAGTAAATAAGGATGACGTAGAAAGAATTAATGCCTTTGAATTGTGATGTTAAAAAGAGTGGTGAATATCTCATGGCCGATATCTTGGGGAAAGTACAATCAGAGTGCTTCTAAAAGGCAAGGATGATGAAATTTTACCACACATGCTTTGTTCATGGGTCAGAGTGGGCCGGTCCTGGGGGAAAAAAACCCATAGTTTTAAAGGTAGAGGCCAGAGGAAGAGAGACTAACCTTCGACAAAAGGGATCAATACAGTGACTGAAAAACAATGGGTTCCAGTCATTAGAAATAAAAAAAAAAAAAGAAATAGTGAGGCTGTCACAGGTTCGGACCCGTTGTTCATAGGGTCTCTGTGAATTGCCATCAGTTTGATGGCACCCAACAATAACAAATGCTCACTTTATTCTTGATACCTCTTCTCAAACTCTGAACATTATGATGTTCTTGGTCCCATTTTAAATTGATAGAAATTGTGATTAAAAAGAGGTGAACCTAGGGAACTCTGGTGGCCTAGTGGCAAGAAGCTGCACTGCAATCCCAGAGGTGTGTGGTTTGAATCCACTAGATGCTTTTGCTTTTCTGGAGATGAAAGGACAATCTTCTCCTGTACCAGTCAGATCTGATTTGATGGTACATGCAAAAAAAAAAAAAAAGAGGGGGGACAAAACTTAATAATCTCTCAAATGGCTAATCTACAGTGGGAACAAATGTTGTTCAAAATGTTCCTAAGAGAATGCAGGAGAAATAAAAAAATGACTTTTGTTGCCAGAATATTTCATTATTACGTTTGGATCATCCCACACATGTTGGTGCCAAGTATTATCTGTTTGCTCCTAGGGAAAATAAGCACTATTGCCTATCTCTCAGGAAGTGGCCTGTCTATGGATGGACAGGAAAAGTCAATACTTTGTGGCATATCTACATCACAGCTCTATGCCTGGGATGTGCAAATGGTGAGTCTGGCCTGGACCAAGCATTGCTCTTATGTAAGTCTTCTTTATTAGAGACATAAGACAGAAATATTGACAGCATAATTGTAGAGTTGGTGGTATAAACAAATTTTCAAATCAGATCTTCTTTTTGACATCTATGACCATTCTATTTATATCATAAACACATGGAGATCTCAGATTTTAATATATGCTTATTATATGTAAATGTGTACAAAGATTAATTTTCTTATGTCAGCATGTATATTTTACAAAATCACTTCTTTGTACTGGTATCATAGCCCTTTGTTATCTCATCTATCTCATTGTCAACTTTAACCATTTTTTTGCATTGACTTTTTCTCAAAAAAGTGGTTTCTAGTTCAGATTGCCTATAAGATGTGTCATATTAGGATATATGGTGCAAGGAATAGAGAGCTGAAAATCCCAGTAAGGTCAAAGTATTGTATTTTCTTGGCTTTTTCTGGTTGGATTTCTTCCTCCCTTACTCTCTTTGAACTGTAAAATGGGGTAATGATCTTTCTGATTCAGAGCCTTTGGAAATATGGTAAGTACCTTTTTACAGAAGATTACAAGAAAATGAGATAAAGCTCTCTTAGATAACTTGCTTTAGGGGATAATTCGTCTCAGTCACCATGTTCCTGGGGACACTTAAAGTAGAACAATGAATAGGTCCATGTGGAAAAAACCTCAGGCTTCCTACCAAGGTTCCACAGTAACTTGCCATCTTTAAGTGAATCACCTTAGAAACATTATCCAAGCTCATTCAAGCCTTTAGGTTCCAATATTGAATAACTCAAGTTTGTCAACTCTTGAATTTTGACCAACTTCATTCCGTGTCCTAGTAAGATTTTACTTTTATTTTGCTTTGAGTTGCTATGTTTCATTGTATTTACTATGCAGAAATTACTAGGTAATACAGAATCTAAGGAGGTCTTTGGGCAACAGAGCAACAAATACTAGCGACAATGTGGAGAGACTGAAACTCTCATTCACTGCTGGTAGTAGGGGTATAAAGTGGTATAACCACTATTGAAGGCAGTATGGTACTTTTCTCAAAAAGTTAGAAATGGACATACCATTTGATTCAGCTATTCCACTACTGGGGTTATACACTAAAGACACCAGAACCATGATACAAATGAATGTGCGCACACCCATGTTTATTGCAGTGTTATTCACAATAGAGGAGAGGAAAGCTGCCCAAGTACCCATTAACTAATGGTCAGATAGACTGTGGTACATCCATATACTGGAATGTTATGCACCACTAAAAAACAATTAATTTAGAAGACACCACACAACATAGCTATTCCTTGGAGAAGGATATGATGTTGGGAAGAGTGGAGGGTGGTGAAGGAGAGGAAGACCCTCAACCAAGTGGACTGATATGGTGACTTTTGGAATGAGTTCTTGTGTGTCAGGATGTGTGAAGAAGGCACAGGATAGAACAGAGCTCAGATCTTTTGTTCATAGAGTTGCTATGACTTGCGCTTGACTCAACGACACCTAACAATGACACAACATAGATGAGTCAGGAAGACATAATGCTGAGTGAAATATCTCAGTCACAAAAGGACAAATAAGACCGTTGTTACAAAAGTAAGATAGACATAGAGAGGAGAAAGCAGGGAAAAGATGGGTAGATACTGAACATTACAATGGTGTAGGAGAAGGGAGGGACTATCTGAAGGGATTGAATGATTAGATAGTATGTGTGTGGCAATGACAGTCTGAAACAAGACATGCATTACCAAGTGTTTGGGGGGAGGAGAAGGCAAGAAAAGATATATCAATGGATGAAAGAAACTATTTCTTTCTATGAACTTTAACTGACATCATAATTTAAAAAAGAGATAAAAAGAATAACTATTTTTCTTAAAACATGAAAGGTATGTGTCAAGGTATATCCATTCTCCATACCTATTCAATCTGTTTGCTGAAAAAATAATTTGGGAAGCTAGACTTTATGAAGAAGAATGTGGCATCAGGACAGGAGGAAGACTCGTCAACAAACTGTTATTCTGAAGGTGAGGAGGACTTCAGGCACTTATTGCAGAAGATCAAGGGATACAGATTTCAATATGGTTTGCATCTCAATATCAAGAAAACAAAAATCATAACTGGGCTTACAGGCAACATCATGATAGATGGAAAAAAGACTGAAGTCATCAACTATTTTGTCTTAGTTGGGCCTTCAATCAACGCCCTTGGTACCAGCAGTCAGAAAAGATGAGTTACATTGGGAAATCTACTGTCAAGAACTCTCCAGAGTACTAAAGAGGAAGCAGTAGTGACATTTTATAACCCTGATCCAAGCCATGGTTATCTTAATTGCTTGCTATGCAACTGAGAGTGGGAAGTGATTAAGGATGACAGAAGAGTAACCGATGCCTTTGAGTTGAGTTTTGGAGGTTACTGACTCTCCTGTGGACTGCCAAGAGAACTAATAGGTTTGTCCTTGAGAAAGTGAAACCAAGGTGCTCGTTGGAGGCAAGGATGACCAAATTGTCTCATATTACTTTGGGCATGTTGGTAGGAAGGACCAGTCCTTTGAGAAGGACACTACTTGGAAAGGTGAATAATCAGTGTAAGAGTGGAAGACCTACAAGACACATGGTCAAATTAGCGATAACAATGGGCTCAAGTGTGTTGGAGATGATGAGGATGGCACAGGAAAGGGTAGAGTTCAGATCCTTTGTTTATAGGTTGCTATGATCCAGGCCAAGGTCTTTGCAGTTACTTGCTTTGCATCAAAGAGCTAGACAAAGACTAAGAATGACAGAAGGAGGATTGATACCTTTGAGTTGTGAGGCTGGAGAAGAGTGTTGAGCATTCCATGGACTGAAAAGAGTCAACAGGTCTGTCCTGGAGAGGGTGAAACCAAGTTATCCTTAGAGCCAAGGATTTTGAAACTCTGTCTCACATACTTTGGGCATGTTGCCAGGAGAGACCAGTCTTTGGAGAAGGACATCATGGTTGGTAGAGTGAAGGGACAGCACAAGAGAGGAAAACCCTGAATGAGATGGATTGACACAGTTACTGAGATAATAGGGTTAAGTGTGCCGGAGACAGTGAGACTGGCTCAGGTTAGGGCAGGGTTCAGAACTATTGTGCATTGGGTCACCGGTGACAGCATAGATCAACAATGAATTGCCATCAGTTCAATGGTGGGTAACAACAACAAGACTACTAAAGAGTCAACAATGAGTCAGTTCCCACTCGATGGCATTGCATTAATGCATTTCTTTAGTTCATTTTTTTGTGACATATAATATTGACAATGATCCAATAAGAGTTGTGCTAGCATCATACTAAACTTATAAGAAAGTCACAGTACATAGGTCAATGGTGGTTAATTTGATACGACACAATGTATAGAAATGATTGTATGAAACACAATGTGAATGAAGGAAAGTGTGAAACACAATATATATGAATTTATATGGAAAAATATAATAAAAACATTTAACATAAACAAACAGAAAAAGAAAACCTTAGTAACTTGATGAATGTTAATTGTTAGCAAAAGGCAGAACTGGTTTGAGCCCAGGCAGTTGATTGGTCTCCATATCTACCATGGAGTAAGTTTCTTCCTCATGTTTATTCTTCACTAATAAAATATTTATGGGAATTTTCACATTCATGGCACTAGAGATATTATAGTTAATGTCAGAAAGATCTTGGCTGAAAGCAGAGTACCAGAGGAATGTCTATCTGGATTTCATTGACTATGCAAAGGCTTTTGACTGTGGATCACAACAAACTGTGGCTGACTCTGAGAAGAATGGGAATCCCAGAACACTTTATTGTGCTTATGCGAAACCTATACTTGGACTAGAAGGCAGTTGACAGAACAGAGCAAGGAAATACTGCATGGTTCAAAATTGGAAAGGGTGTGCACCAAGGATGTGTCCTATCTCCATATCTTTTCGACCTATATGCAGAACAGATTATCAGGGAGACTGGGCAATATGAAGAAAAGTGTGGCATTAGGATTGGAGGTAGACTCATCGACAATCTGCTTTATGCAGATGACACAACCCTGCTGGCTGAAACTGAGGAGGACTTAAAGCACTTGCTGCAGAAGGTCAAGGACTGAGGCCTTCAGTATGGATTGAAGCTCAACATCAAGAAAGCAAAGATTCTCACCACTGGGCTGATTTGCAGCATCATGATAGATGTCGACAGCTTCAGTTTGCTTGGCTCCACAGTTAACACTCTTGGTAACAGGAGCCAGGAAATAAAACAACGAATTGCATTGGGAGAGTCTGCTGTCAGAGACCTCTCCAAAGTACTGAAGAGCAACGATATCAGTTTGGAGACTAAGGTGCATCTGATACAGGCCATGGTCCTTGCAATTACTTGCTATGCATCAGAGAGCTGGACAATGACTAGGGATGATAGAAGGAGAGTTGATGCCTTTGAGCTGTGGTGCTGGAGAAGAGTA